ACAATCGACATCGCACTTGGTGGAGTTGTGCGTCCAGGCGTACCTTGACAGTCTGATATAATCCTGATGTGGCGCGCGCGCCGCTGGCGCCATGCACCGCCGGGCCCGGCGCTCGACGAGGCCCTCGAGTCGGCGCGCCGAGGCGTCGCCCCGTGAGACCAGTGGCGTGATCTGCGTGGCCCTGCCTCCGCCGTCTTTGCCGCGTTGCTTCGTCTTGGCTGGTCTTTGAGCTCGCTGTCGAGTGGGGGGCTGCAGCGGGCGCCAGCGTTGACATCTCCGGCGTCGCTCTCAGGGGCGTTGAAACTCGTGTCGCGCGTGGCGCTGAGCTTGGGGCGTGGCGCCGACCATCCCCGCGGCGCCCTCTCGCGCGGCGCCTGGCGGGCGCTTGAATTGTTAGCCCCGCTCGGAATATTTTTGAAAGGGGGTGTTGCAGGTTGGGCTCCGACCATTGCTTTGGGTCCAGTTCTCGCCCTAACGTTGCAGTTGCGTTGATGTTGTTCCCAGTGTCAACGTGTTTCTCATGATCTTCGGGAGGCTACTCATCATGTGACTGGGATTGTCCAGTTGCGTGCCGATTCTGGCGAGATTCCGGACTCCCGCATTGTTGAGGGCAGCTGGCCGTCGTGGTCCAGTCTGGTGCACAGCTTGCGTCCAGACCCAGAACGTCTCGCCCCCCTTCCCTCCGTTGGTTTGGAGCCCGGGTGGGCGAAGTTGGTGGTGCAGGGGCAGGTTTCGCATCCCCTGCTTATGGGGGTGGTTCGGGCGAACTCGGGCCCCGTGCCATTTCGGGGTTATATATATATATATATATATATATATATATATATTCACGCACCATTTTTTTTCCCTGGAGGCGTGCGTCAGCTGTCCCATCGCAAATTCTTATGGCTTCCATCCCAGTCTCGTTTCAGATGCACCTGGTGCCGGAACTTTTGATTTCTTGGTTCATCTTATGCGCGCTGCTATTCTGATTGCCAGCGGGTTGTCGATGCATCTGCTCTTGCCGAGACCTGCGGCGCATAATCCTTGAAAAAGTTGGGGGCGTTGGATATGATCGCAGCCGCGTCCGCAAATCCCGGCCCACCATTCAAAGGATGCCGAGCAGCAGCTTGCCCTGTGTACGCGTGCAAATGCTGTCGCAGAGAAGTGTACCAATCGCGGAGCCCCTAATCGTTGTCGACGAAGTGGCCCTGGTGTGAATTTGGCGTATCGCTGCCGCTGTTACACTTGTCGCTGAGTTTTTTTGCGTATGCCGCGTCCAATGCTTTGAAGTTGTTCGAGCGGCGTCCTAACTCAGTCTCTCTCCTATTGGCCCTCCTGCTCCAGGGCTGCGCGCTGGGGCTCACCCCGTGGGGGTCGGCCGCCGGGCGGTGTTGGGCACGGGAACTTTGAGGTGCTGCTGTGTAGCCTGTTGGGTCTCCAGTCATGACAAGTTTTCCTTGTCCAGTGCCGAATGTCAAGTCCCAGAGGCGCATGGCGACGTGATCAAAGCATGTGGCCCGCATGTGTTCTGCCGCGCTCGCGGCGCCTGCGCTGCGACTGATGGTCATTAGTTGCAGCGGGCGTGCCGTGGTGGAAAGTCCACGGCCGATGATATTAAACGTTGGCTAGAAAAACTAATGCGCCGATTGGCATTTTTAACACGTGCAAATTTTTGGATGTAGCTGCCCCAGTCCTTCAGTTTTTCCGTGATCTCAGCGAGCGCGGGCCCCCCGTAGATGCGGGCCCCCCAGCGTATGCCTATACCGATGTGTTAAATGACTCGGTCGGCAGTCTTGCGGCGCAGAAATTCGGTCGATTGTTCCCGCCGCGGAGAGCGGGGACCCGTCCGAAAATGGGTTAATTTCAGGCGTCGGGTTAATTTCAGGCGTCGCCCAAGCTCCTGCATTGCTAAGGGGCGCAGAGTGGCGCGCGCACTTCAACGCCATAGGTTGTCACGGGCGCCGGCTGGGCGACTGACTGGCTATGCCAGGGTTTGCGGCGCCCTCCCCGTCTGCAGGCCGGCCGTTGCCTTTTCGCCGTCGCGGTCGTGTTTGTCGGTGTCGTTGTCGTCGTCGTCGTCGTCGTCGTCGTCGTCGTCGTCGTCGTCGTCGTCGTCTCTTTGAGGAGTTGGCCCCCGCGCGCGGGCGTCGCCGCCAGTCATGGTCAGAGTTAGAGATTATGCTCCTGCTGCTGTTGTTCCTCGTCGCCCTCCCTCTTCCTCGTCCTTTTTCTCCTGCCTGCTCATGCGCCCGCCTCCTCCTGAAAATATTCGCAGCTTCCCTTGTCAGATTGCGCGCGACACGATGGGGTCCTCTTGGGGCTTCCGGGTCCGCGCTGGAAGTCTAGGCGGTTCGCGCGACCCCGCCAGTTCTCGACGAGGGCGTTGAGTGACGCTGCTGCAGTGTGGTTATTGCGAATTCACAGCCATTTTGGCCCTCTCCCTGGCCTCGCTCGTTCCTCGCCGGCGACTCGCACCTCCTGGATTCCGCTGCCCTCCACCTGGGCCTCTTCGGCTTGGCGTGGATTGCCCGGGCCGCTCCGTAGTTTTCGCTGCCCGAGTGACTGCGCGGCGCGCTTCGGTCGCTCTGGGCCCAGTTTTAGGTTTTAATTTAGAGCTTGGCGCGGTTGCCTTTTCTCTTGACGGCGCGCGGTTGGACCGCGGCGCTCGCGAACAGAAAAGTAACCCCGCCAGTTGCTGCCGGGCCCCGCATCTCGTGGTCGCGCCTGGCCTGCGACGGCCTGCCCCCGTGCCCCCCCGCCGCCCCGGCCATGCGCATGAGGTCGCTGGGAAGCCCTCCCGACCCAGGGCGCAGGTCTGCGGGCCTTTCTTCCGTCGTGGCCACCTTGGGCGCGCCCGAGATTCGCCTGCTGGCCTCCCTCCTTATTTCGGGGATTCTCCAGGGCTCCTGGGCCCGCGGCTCGCCGTATTTCTTGCGTCTTTCCGCCCAGGGTAGACCGGCGCCCGGCCCTCCCCCGCGTTGCCCTCCCCAGGGCCAGCTCGTGTCCCCTGGCTTTGGCTCTCGCCGGCTCCCCCGCCGGAGTTTGCTTTCTTCTCGCCGAGTCCTCGCGCCATCTGGTGGCCGGCGATCCGGAATTGCCGTCGAGCGCCTGCGCGTCTTGTTCCTCCTCTTCTGGGCCGAGGACTTTCATTACTTCGTGGTGCTTCGCGTCGCCCTGCTGTTCGCTGGGCGCTGGCGCTCTTCTGAGCGGCAGTGAGGTTCGCCCGTTGCTAGTCTCTTCCGCCGTCTTTTCTCTCGTTGTCTTCCTGTCCCCTTTCTTGCGCAATTTATTCCGTAGCTTGCGCGCTATGACCTTGCCGGCGCGCGGCACCTCCGCATCGCTTGTGATCAAAGAGGTAACCCCGCCAGCCCATCCAGAAAAGATGCTCAGATGAATTGCCTCGATCAGCGAAGTGGGTAGCGCGCAAAGGACGGGTCCCCCAATGGCGGCCTCTTGGAGCGTCTTGGGGGCCTCTTGGCGGTCCCGGGCGCCTCCTAGAGCGTCTTGGGTGCCTCAGAAAGCTTCTTGGGGCTCTCGGGAGTCTCTTGGGAGCCTCTTGGAGGCTTCTTGGGCGCCTGTTGGGGCCTCCAGGGGGCCGTCTTGGAGCGGTCTTGGGGCCTCATGGAGCGTCGCGGGGGCCATCTTGAAGCATCTTGGGATATTTTGAGCCATCAGGGAGGTCATCTGGGGCACTCCCAGGCGCTCTTGGAGTCATCTTAATCAATGCCCCTCCCCAGGAGGCCGACGTGTGGGCAAAACCATAGTGAACAAGCGACGCCTTCTGCATTCTCGCCGAGGCCTCTTGGGGCGTCTTGGGTGCTTTTGGGGGGCATCCTGGGGCCTCCTGGGGGTCTTTATTGGAAGCTTCTTGGGGGCATCATGAAGGCCTTTTGGAGGGTTCTTGGGGCCTCCTGGTCACCTCTTGGGGCCTTCTTGGAACACCCTTGGGCGCCTCGGGGGCGCTCTTGGGGCCATCTCGAAGGAAATCGACCAAACCAGAGGGCAGCTTTAATTGCGCCCCCCCCCCCCCCCAGAGGGCCAACGTGGGGCCAACACCTAAGCAAAACCAGTGATTTGGACTTCCTCGCCGAAGCCGTTTTGGACGCCCCACCCCCTCGCGAGACCCCCCGTCCAGGTCCAGGGGAGGGGGTGGAGGGAAGGGTCAAGAGTAGCTCCCCGCCCACAAGCCGTCTCGCTCACTTCCACCCGCCCTCCCGACACGTACGTAGCACCCGAGTCTCGCCCGAACCTTTATTCAGCAGTCGTCTTTGGATGGGCAGCTACTGGGGGCCAATCCGCCGCCGCCGCCGTCGCCGCTGCCAAATCGCCGCCGCCGCTGCCGCCGCCGCCGCTGCCGCCGCCGCCACCGCCGCCGCGCCGCCGCCGCCGCCGTCGCCGCCGCCGCCGCCGCCGCAACCGCCGCCGCCGCCGCCAACGCCGACGCCGACGCCACCGCCGCCGCCGCCGCAGCCGCCGCAGCCGCCGCCGCCGCCGCCGCCGCCGTCGCCGCCAAATGTATTTATTGTGTATTGTTTTTTGACAGGGATGGTGGGGGGAGGCCGCATCGGGTTGGCTGCGCATGTTCCGAATTGGAAGCGTATTGTGTTTTGTATTGTTTTTTACACATATGGGGTGGTTGGGGGGGTGCCCGCATGGCTCTGGGTTGGCTACCGGCCGCCTGGGGGAGGGGGTGTTAACTAATAGGGAACAGTGATAAACCCCTCCCTGTAGGGGGAGAGGGATGGGTGGAAGAGGAAACGCCTTCAACCACCTACGCCCAGAGGGCTGTTGGGATCCGCTTGTGGATAGGGAAACATGAAAACAACGGGAAAGGGATGCTTGGGAGTGGTGGGATGTCAGATTTGGTGCGAGCGCACCCAGCTTCCCCTTCATCCCCTCTCCCCTCTCCCCCCCTTCCCCCTTTCCCCACTCCGCCTCCCCAGTCTTCCCTTATTCATTCCGCATCCCGATCCGCATTCTCGTTGCCAGCCTGCCATGCTTGCTTGGACTGGTGAAAGGTGTCCTCGAGTGTTTTTTCATCATTTGGGAGCGCGGCCGCCGCGGACCCCTTCGCCACGATCGCCGGCACTGGCAGGCGGTTCCAGGAGGAGGAGGGGGAGGATGAGGAGGAACGGGAGAAGGTTCGCGGACCGAAACGAGGCGCGCGTGCCATCTTTTCGGTTGTGTGCTGTACTACATGTTGAATGCTCCAGCAGCCGCCTCGTGTTGCGGGGGCGCGTCCGACCCCCCCCTTTCCCGCAACCTGATCTGGCCTCCTCGGACGTTTTTGGCTCGGCTCTCGGACTCCCGCCGCGCTGCCGATGCGTTCCAGGGGCCCCCCGCTCGAACGAGGGCCCTGCCCCTGGCCCTGGGGCCTTTGGAACCGGGGCACCCGCGGGCGCGCCGTCCGCTACGCGTGGGAGTGGCCCTCCTCCGGGATGACCTTTTGGTGCGGGGTGCGGGCCCACAGTTTGGACGCCCGAAATGGGTACGGAAAAAGGGGTACAATGCCCAACAGCACATGTTGTCCCAAACCAACAGCGGCCGCTGTTGGGCAGGCGGCGTTCTGTCTCGAATGGACACAGGCCGCGGCGGCGCGGACAGCGAGTCCTGTTCAAAGTGGACAGGAACTTCTGTCGGGCATCGTACCCATTCCTTCCGTGCCCATCTCGGGCATCCAGACACAGGGGTTCGGGGGCACCAGACGCGCGTGGAGACGGACTGCGGGGTGACCGTCGGGATCCCCGGCGACCTCTCCGCGCGGTCCGTCCCCGCACGGAGCTGGGACTTCGGAGGTGCCCCCGTCGCCTCCTCCTCCTCCCTCCTCCTCCTCCTCCTCCTCCTCCTCCTCCTCCTCCTCCTCCTCCTCCTCCCTCCTCCTCCTCCTCCTCCTCCTCCTCCTCCTCCTTCTCCTCCTCCTCCTCCTCCCCCCTCCTCCCCCCGAGTCCCAAAACCGCGCGGCGGCCCCGACGCCCCGCCGACTTACCACGCGGTGTGGTCACCACGCCGTTCGGGGATTTTTTCTTTTTTCTTCTTGTATTCCCTTCCGGTAGCGGGCGTGACCGGGGAGGAGGGAGGGAACCCTTACCAGCCTGGAACATATCCCCATCCCTATGCTGGGCACCTCCTCATCACGATGTCAATCTTAGGGATTCCCTTATTTTTTGAGGGCGAATCCCTAAAAGACTGTCATCGCCTTTTGGCGTGTCAATCTTAGGGATAGGGATACGTTCGAGGCTGGTAAAAACCGGTCACGTCGCGTTTCGCGCCGGCTCCGTCTGTGAATGCCTCGGGATGGCTACTTCCCAGATGGCGCCAAGGCGCGGATCCTGACCAGACCATGTCGCGGGGGGGTGCGGGGCCTGTCACGGACGTTATCGCGGATATACAAACGGGCTTTTGCCCCCCCCCCCCGACATCATCATTATCATCATCATCATCTTCATCATCATCATCGTCATCATCGTCATCAGCATCATCATCATCATCATCATCATCATCATCATCTTCATCATCTTCATCATTTGCATCAGAAGCAGCAGCATCAGCATCAGCATCAGCATCAGTATCAGTATCAGTATCAGCGTCATTATCGTCAGCATCATCATGATCGTCATCGTCATCATCGTCATCATCATCAGCATTATCATCACCGTCATCGTCATACGCATCATCATAATCATCGTTATCGTCGTCATCGGCATCATCATCACCATCATCATCGTCATCATCGTCATCATCACCATCAACATCATGCTCGTACTGATCACCGCTAACATCGTTATTGCAGTTACTTTATCATTCAACTATTCAAACTCAGCATCATCATCAGCATCATCATCACCACCATCATCATCATCAGTATCAGCAGCATCATCATCCTCCTCATCATCAACATCATCTACAGCATCACCACCATCATCATCATCATCATCATCATCATCATCATCGTTATCATAATAATCATACTAATAACAGTCAAAATAATAATACGAATGACAATACTAATAATTTTCAAAAATAATAACAATAATTGCAATGATCACTATTTTTATTGTTATTATTGGTACTGTTGTTGTTGTTGCTGTTGTTGTTATTGTTGTTGTTGTTGTTGTTGTTGTTGTTGTTGTTGTTGTTGTTGTTGTTGTTGTTTCTTATACTGATTTGTACTTGTACGTGAATCCTGTGCGTCTCGTATTGTTTCGGCCGTTCGACTCTCAGTCGACCCTCACCGCAAACGCGGTGGCTCCAGCTTCAAGAAGCCCGACCGCACCGCCGCACTGGCTGATCTGGAGGTGGCTGCTCGAACGGGGTCCCGGCTACTTGGGTCAGACTCTGGTGATGTACGCGGCCCGTTGCATAGCCGTCCCAGTTTGCATCAGGGCGAGCTGCCCGCTGTGTCCGCAGCTGTCGTGCGGGGACTACGTCCTTCCCCCTTGCAGGCCCCTGCCGGCGTCAGGCTTCGCCTGCGAGGCTGGCGCCGGCGCCTGCTGGTTCTTTCCAGTGCTGGGGATCTTCGTGGGGTGGGCCTCGTGGTACTCGTGGTCCTGGTGCTCGCCTGCCAGCGTAGCGCGCAGGCCGTCGTCCAGGTGGCTCGCAAGAATTCTGACAGTGAAGATGGGCTGCTGGTGCTGCCTCCTGTACAACGTGGACGGCCAGCCGCTCTGGCACCAGCGCAAGGTGCACGGAATGGTGGCGGTGTACGTGGTTGCCACGCCGGACGGTGATGTGTACGCCGAAGAGTGGTCGAACACGTGGGCCGAGGTGGCAGCCGTGCGGTGGAGCCAAGGGTTCTGTGGCCTCCCAGCTGGGGTGCCTCGGAACAAGGTGTACTGCTTCCGGCGCGAACCGACGGCGGCGCGAGACGCGGAGTTCCAGCAGGTCGCCGAGGACTAGGCGGAGAGCGTGCTGCTGCTGGGCTGCTGTGGCGCCATGCCCGCCGCGGGGTTCGCCTGGCTGTTGGCCGATGACGCCAGTGGGCAGCCCATTGGTGACGGTGCCGCGGCGGTGGTGCCTGGCGCTGTCGTGCCCGTCGCGGCGGGGCCAGGCGCCGTCGTGCCCGTCGCGGGTGGGCCGCCCAGCGCGGCGCTGGCGGCGGCGGTTGTGGCGGCCGTGGCTCAGGCTGGCCCCGGAGCGGCTCCGTCCAGCCGCGGCTGCAAGGGCCCTCGCAAGGCGTTGCGCCTCCGGGCGCGGCCGCCACCGTGGGGGCCGTCTGGCGGGCCGCGGAGACGGGCGGAGGCTGCCTTTTCGGGGGCACCATCGTGGGCCACGCTCGTTCGGCGCGGACTTCAGGAATCAAGGATGTCCACGTGCTCGTCCGTAGCCATTTTGGCTCAAGTTCGAAACGCTCCCCTGGCGCTTCGAGCTTGATCGCTGCCGAAGGGACGGCTCAGGGCGCCCCTCCTGCGAGGACAGGCCTCGCTGCACAGGAGCTTCAGTGCCCGTGCCTTGTGGTTCACCTTCTGATCCTCTTGGCACCTTTCTCCTTTTCCACGAACGTTCTTCCGCCATGGTTCGCAAGTCACAGGTGCGCAGATCCGACAAGTATGAGGAACGTGAGGACCGACGGTCTCGGCGGGAGCATGTCCGTGATGGTTCTCTGTCATCGCAGGGTTCTCCTCGTCATGTCCCAGCTAAACTTCGTCATCCGAGCCGCAGCAGATCTGGAGGCATAAGTTCTTCGACGCCTTGCAGCAGCTCGACCGACTCAAAGATTGACACGCTCATCGGCAACATGGAGATGCTCTCCCAACTTGTGGCCAACCAGACGGTGGACATGAACTCCATCAAGGAGGCCTGCAAGGTCTCGGCGGATCGCTGTGCTGCACTTACGGATCAGATGACTTTGATCAGCCGTGAGTATCATAGCCGACATCAGGAGCTTCAAGCTTCGGTGACGGCCTCGTTGAACGCGCTCGACTACAGGATGGGCGTCTTGGAGAATTGCGGGGGCGATTCTCACATGAGTGACGCTGCAGATCCCACACTCACTTCCAAGGTGATCGCGATCGAGGGCTCCCTGTCCGAGTTGCTGGATCGCCAACGGGCCTCTGAGGCTCACATCGCTGCGCTGCAGTCACCACCGACTCCCCCTGCTTCTCCTTCCCCTCGCCGTACGACGACGAACCAGCAGAATGCCCAGGACCAGACGTGCAAGCTGGTACTCTTGGGTTTTACGCGACCCATGCTGGCCAGCGACCTCAAACTCATCGGCAACTCGTGCGTCCACACCTTTGCGCCCGCCCAGTCCGCGGCCAAGATCATCGTGCGGGGCTTTGACATGTCAAAGAAAGTTTCCCTTCACTTCGAGACGGCGCTGGATGCATCATCGTTTCTGGACAACTTCAACCGCACGAACGGATCGTGGTCTGTTGCTGACCCGCTGCACACGGGCGTGCAGCTCTCTCTTCGTTTGCGTCGCGACCTGGACTTCCAGGGTCGCCAGCTTTTTCTTTCGCTTGGCCGTGTGAGGCGCCACCTCACCGATCTGATGCGGAACCGTGGCTTCGAGGTCGGGAGCTCTGGACTGGGGGGGTGTGTCTACATCCTTCGAGGGCCCCACGACCCAGTCCCAGCGGTCAACATCTCGGTCTGCGACAGCGGAGCTGTCACGACTGAGATCGTGCGTGACACTTTGATTGAATTTGGCATCCCTCAGCATGCGGCTGCCCTTGAGGAGGCTGCGCAGGTTCAGCTGCGCCGTCCCTTTCGGCGCTGAGCCCGACTGCTCTGAGTGCGTAGGCAGTTCCCCTCCCTCCTTCTCCCCCCCTCCTGGTGATTATGTGAACAACACGGATCTCTACATGCCTTCCCCTTCTTTGTCTCTTTGTACGTGGAACTGTGAGGCACTGATGTCATCGGTCAGGTCGAAGAACATCATGGCTTCTAAGCGGTACTTTCGATATATACAGTTATGCAGGAAATATGATATCGTAGCTACACAAGAGACACACGGTCATATTGGTGACATATCAGAATTGGAGCGCGAGCTCCGCACGCACAGGTTCGGCTTCTCTTTCTTTGAAGACTCCAACCGCGAGGGCGGCGTCATCACTGCTATCTCTTCTACACTCGCCTCCCAGTTCCAGGACATTA